CTCTGTTTTGCGATCCCCTGACAGATGAATCCTTCACTCGGCTCGCCTGGCTCGGATACGCTAATCTTAGGGATTCCTTGCTCTCCGCCTGTCTTCATCCGTCGACAACATCGGATATCTTAGCAAATAATCTTTCAACCCAACGTAAATATACATATATATTTAATTCAATTAATTTTACAATTAAAACTATATTATATATTAAAAAAAATTCATTTAATCTAAGAATTACATCTAAAACATAGTTATTTTGATACAATAATAACTCACTTTAGAATCGTATAAACTAAGATTTAAACGTATCTCGTAGATAACACACTTAAAATTATATGATTTAGGAGTTAGACAACCAAATATACACAGCTGTTTATTGGGTGGCTTATTACACGATGATCTTGATACATATTGTGTTGTTCGGTGCAACGGCAATGTTATCTGTGATAAACATTCATCCATATTAGGTACTGGGGTTGATGAATTTGACGGTATATTGATGAAATGAGTGTAATATCTGTGAGGATCATTATGTTTGTCTTCAAAAATTGCAGTATTTGGAGTTAACTGGTTTAATAAACCTTTACTTAAAATTGTATTTATTAATGTGTCAGCATATATGGCTTGTGTATTTTTCATTTTATCTAATTTCTTTGCCACGTTTATGGCAACTGCTTCATATTCGGTGGTTTCAGTGATGTTTTTCTCCAAAGCACGTTGGCAGGCTTCCAAAAATGGTGTGTTTGATGTTGCCTTTCTTTTTGTACCTTTTTTTGTTATAAACGTTGGTTTAGTTGCAGTTGAACTATTTGACGACTGATTTACTGTATTATTTTCAGTTTCCTAAAAACGAAGAAGAATGGTTAAAAACGTCGGAAGGCTATGAGAAAAAATGGAATTTTATAAATTGTGGAGCAGCTATCGATGGAAAGCAGATTCGCATTGTTCAGCCTCCCTCCCAGAACATGAGCACAATATTTTAATTACAAAAATTTTTATAGCATTCCCCTGTGTGTAAGATGTAAATAAATCTGCTTTGTTTGCAACGGATTGTTCTTGATCTCGTAGCTGATGGTATTTCTGGTTGGTGTTTGATGTGACTAAAAAAACAAAACTATAAAATTCATGTTAACCAAGGATTTTCCATGAAAAAATAATCCATGATCAGGTGGGATATGTGTTTCTAGTACTACGAAACGAAACGTCTTGGAATGAAAAATCCAGAATTTTCAATCCTTGCAGCTATAGAAGCTATATTTTGGACTCTACACATCAGTAATGTAATATATGGCAGAAAGACAAGCTTACAAAAAAAAATTACAGAAAATGAAACGGAAGAAGATGCTAATCGAGAACCACGGAGTTTTGAGCATAAATTATGAAAAAGTTAGGTCGCTTTTGATCTTGGCATGATGACTACGCTGTTCAAAAAAGATAAATTTGACGATGTAATAAATACTATGCAAAACAGAAAAACACCGATTTGCATCCGGGCGGAATTGCTCCAAAAGTGCACCAAATTAGATTAGGGGTGAAGAATCGCACTGCATCTCGGTGACTCTACCAACACTTAGGTGTTATTTTGATATCTATCTGCCAAATAGACCATGTGGTCACACTTCATCAATTTCACCAATAAGTCTCACAGCAATGCTTCTTGGTCTAGTTGCATAAAAGTTGCTGGTATTTTCCATATTTTTTACATTTCATTTTTTGCAAGAACAACCTATCCCAATTCCTCATCCGACCGAAAGTGTAGGACTCACTTGACCTCGATGTTGTTGGTCAAGAATACCCACCAACTTTTACTACAGCACTTAACACACAACACTTCACGTCACATACAATACATCTGCACACATCGTTCTTTCTTCCTTCTCTTTTGCACTGACCACTTGCGTCACAAAACCTTCAATCCATTCCCAACTCTCCTCATCTTCCAACATGGTGGCGATCACGTTGTTCGATGTCATGTTCTCCCGTAGATTAGCCATCAGTTATTGCGTTTCGCTGCTCCATCTAGGAACCCAGCCCAATCCATCGCAACCCAACTCAACGAAACCCAACCCAACCCAATTTTGTATTCTTAGACTTAAAGCAAATTGTTCAAATCGAAACAACCCCAGATGAGACTCTACAATGCGTAAAGTGTGCTGTAGGAGTTGCTAAGATACCAGGGGATAAATGTAGCCCTTCGACTATGTTTTTGAAACGTTTCTGAACGTGATACTACTCTGAGCGGGTTTGGTATATTGCTGGAGTAAAAATTAAATGATTTTAAGTTAGTTTCGCTGACACTAGGAAGTTGAGAGCATAGTCTAGGTACGCCATGATAGTGTATAAACAAAACCTTTGTTGTAACTGTAGATTGCACTAAGTTTTTAATCATAATAGCTTTTTTCAATATTAACATTGTGACATCTTGTGTCAAAAGACAAGGAGATTTTTCATGCTGCTTTTACACGTTCCGAAGATTTTGCAGAACGATTTCATCAACCCAGAAAGGTAGACTACCAGCTAGTTTTACTAGAACTTATATTAGCAATATTACTAGAACTAACAATATACTTAGATCTCGAAACATTCAGGTTTAGCCGTCTTAATGGACACACGGCTAAACCTGAATATTTCTAGTTATAGGTAGTGTAGTAGTATTAGTGCTAGTTCTAGTTTTAGCTGTTATTCAGCCCTAAGTTGTAGAAAGTTTCGGGTTTAGCCGTGCGTCTTTAGGCGTTATAGGATAGTTCTAGTTTTAATTGTTATTCAGCGCTAGATTGTTATAAATTTTTATTGAACTAAAAGTAGAACTAATACTAAACCTAGAACTAGAAACATTCAAGTACGATAAAATTAAGTTTTCTTCAGTTACAAAATCAAAAGAATTACTTAAACTGATAAAAAAACTAATAAAATATAATTTTATAGATATTTAATGTGTTTATGTCACACTTCATCAATTGTTTAAAATTTAAAATACCTCATAACAATATAATAGTATAATAACGATGCAAACTGGGATATTAATTAATAATTTACGTTCCCAAGTGCACATTACCAAAAGAAGTACACAAAGTTAACATAACTTAGTAAAACTGGCGATGTAGCCGCGGGAAAATAGGTTCGTTGTTTTTTTTAACGTTCCACACGAACACGCTTACCCTTTTAGCGAACCACATAATTATTTTTTAACGCAGCCGACGTTTAACGATGGCCCATGAAAAAAAGGATGATGATCGATAGGCTTTAACGATGTCCTTTGAATGGATACCACACGCGGCGAAGGCGTCGCGATCGCAACAAAACGGAGTCCCTTATTGTAATAATTGGGGGTTGGGTGAAAATGGGGTGGAGAGCAGTAAACGACAAGAAATCCGAGAGCTGGGTGGAAAAATAAACGAGGAGGAATGTTTCCGAACACTCTCAGCGTATGCGGGGGAATAATTTATAAAGTTTACCTTGCACGTCCGTTAATGGGAAAGTAAATGTTTTATGAGGATTTTTTTTACCCTACGCGACGCCCGCCGGTTTATGTCGTCCATTATTTAGCAAAAAACGTCCGACGTCGCGTTGGCCCTTTATCCACACTCCTTCCGATCGATATTTAATACTTCTCCTTTCAATTTTCGGACGGTTTACGACGTCGCATTTTTACCTTTGAAGCCATTACGGATGGCTGCTGCACGAAAACTCCACTTTACGACACTATGTTACCATTGGGATATGTCATCTTGGAAAAATTTACCATCCAATAACTGGACTCACTAAATTTCTTATTATAACGAAATGAAATTCATACATTTTTGAAATCAAACTTTTATTGGTTATTATATCTAATTCTTTTTCCGTTTCTATAATAAGTAATAAAAGCATAAGGTTCGTTATTTATAAGTGTGATGGTTATTTTTGGACGATATCACGTGCCGAACTAAGTGGAGTCTCGGGAAAGGGATCGATCATAAAAAGGTAATGAGGAGTGTGGAGCGTTCGAGATAACAATGTCCACCGCTCCCTTCAGCTCTAACAAGGTGGATGTGGAGTACGGGGCGATAGAGAAAACGGGGGGTGAAGAAGGAGGAGAAAGGAGCGAGCGAACAAAGGCAATTCAACAAGTGAACCGTGCTCAGAAGCGTCCCAGAAAAAGTTCCTCGATCAGAAGGTTCGACGAACGGAAAAACCGAAAAATAATCAACGCCCGACCATCATGTCCTCACGTTCCGCTTTGATTTCTCCCTGGACGCGATTCCAAGATCCCTTTCCCCTTCGTTAATTGCAAGAACTACGCGACACTTTTAAACCCCCTTGTTTTTTCCCCTTTGTTAATTTTCCGGTCAAACTCAATTTCGCTCCATACGAGATGTATTCCGTTATTTGACTTAATTCGGGTTCGGGACGAGTCGGATTTCAAATTAACACCGACGACCTGCGTTAATCCGGTCTTTAACGGGATACCGGATCCAACTCTCGTTGCATTCGGGATAAAAATTTTAATTGGATCCCATAAAAATCAATGCCATCCCCGACCGTCTGTCGTCTGCTCTTTTCTGTTTCAACTTACGGTTCGTTTCCAGTCGATCTCGACTTTTCCCGGCCAATCAACGGCACACCAAAAAAACGATTACTCGTAATTATAACTTTAACCTCGCACAATTCCAAAGACAATGGTTCAATCATTTCCAAACTTGACCTGACGAAGTGTTTGCATAATTAAATGTACCTCTTTTAGTTTCTCCATCTAAAACTCAGCCACATTTAAATACAAATCCAACTTAATTTTTCAAATCAACTAAAACTAAAACAACATTAGCAGGATCTGTAGAATTAAGAATAAACATTCAGGTTTTAAATAAATAAGTTAACTGTTTATTATTAAAAAATCAAATGAAATTTTAATTCCGCAACTAGCGACGTTGTCAAGTCTAAATCTAGCATGAGACTGTTCGGGGGGTTCGGGGTAATAGCCGGTTTATACGCTTGAGTTAACAAATCTTTAACGTAAAATTAAAAGAATTACCTGTTATTAAACGATAACAAACTTCTTGAATTTTAGTTAATACGAAGTAAGATTAATGGTTTTATTATTCCATCAAATTGAGGAAAACACATTGTTTAATTGTAAGTAGTAACAACATAACCACAAAAAGAAAATTAAATAGTGAGTTATGAAATGAATTATCAGCAATACGATCTCAGAATTATCTTTCGTATTGAAGGTAAGTGAATTGTTAACTAAATTAAAACGAATAAATCTAAAGAAAATAACAACACTTAGCTTAGTTTGGTGGTTGTAGGATAAAGAAGTCCATGGTACAGGATTCTGGGATTATCAGGAACGGAAATCAAAATGATTTTTCTTCATTAAGGTTGGTTTTTTTCTTTGAATCAGAGAAATTCTTCAAATTAATTTTTTTGAGGTTATGTCAACATTAATCTTTTTACATAACCTAAAACGTTGCTTATAATGTTCGAGGAGACAAAATTTGCGTGCGTTCTCCCTCAAGTTCAAAATCACACTAAAATTTTAAATTTTCCTTTGTTTAATGTTAAAATTGAAAAATACTGTTTCCTGATTGGTCAATTTCATTAACTTGAAATTCCTTTTTAAAATTTTCTGTCATTACCAACTTTGACATTTTAAATGTCACTAAATTAATTTGATTAAATATTATTTAAATTTTGTTAATAACTATATTTATGTATGAAATTTCGTAATTTTAATGCTTTTTTAAATTGATTTTCAGATATCTAATCATTTTCTTCTACAAAGGCAAAATTCTCAAATCTTGAGATTATGGATTTTCATCTAAAATATCATTAATTTACACAAAGGAGGGCTATTTTCCATTCTTATTATGCTAAGATTATCATTTTCAATCGCTTCAATTGGATAAATAAGGATTTGAACAAGAAATTGAGAAAAAAATCAAATTGAGGTTATCTATCTGTCAGAGGGTCTTTAAAATTGCTTCGTATCGACTTTACATGGATTATATACAATAGAAAACATCAAGGGCCAATAATACATAACTGAATTCATCAGTAAATAATATTTTGTATTACAAAAAATGAATTTATTATTATTATGATTCATAACATCCTTGTACATTCAATACGATAAGTCTTTAAATTCTCAAAATGATGTTTTATGATTGGTTATATCATTAAAGTATGTATAGTGTTAGTTGTGGTGCTAGTTCTAGTTATTATTCAACACTAGGTTCTTAACTTAAACATTTTTATTGAACTAAAAGAAGAACTAACACTAAACCAGAATGTTTCTAGTTCAAGGTATAGTGTTAGTTCTCATGCTAGTTATAGTTTTACTTATCATTCAGCAAATATACAGGTTGTTGTATATTTTTATTGAATTAAAACTAGAACTAACACTATACTTAGAATTAGAAACATTCATTCATGGTACTTATAAAGCTTTGAATTGTTTATTTGTTCAATAGTAAATAGTGAGGTTGGAGTATTTAGTCTATTGATTTGAGTTTGAATCCACATTGAAATCCACTGAGTATAGTAACACACATCAATCTGTCTTTGAACTAGAGAGACTATTAAATAGAGTATACCTTGAAAGCGTGAAATTAAGGGGATTTACATGGGTGGTGTATAAAATATAAACTATATAAACAGCAAATTTGAATAATTTAAACATCACTAAAAAAACATATGCAACCAATTTATTATCACCTGTCCAATTAGCGCTACCAGAAATTGTTAATCATTATCAATATACACCGAATTTTACCAATGTGTGTAATTTGCAATTCTGAATAATTCATGAAAACGTCGACAATTACATTTAATTTATAAATTAAACCCGAATTTGAAATATTAATGTTAATAAACGCGTTTATTTCTACATGAGATGTTAACTTAAGTATAAAAAATTTTAAATTATTCCTTTTGTTGTCCACAAATTCAAATAAATTACAAATAAATTTTCTCAATTAAATTAAATAAACTTGGACCTATTTTAACCGGCTTTTAATCGTTTGCAATATCCTATGGCGATACACGATTTCTACGTAAGGAGTGCTTGTGGCCTTTTTTACATTGCCAATTGTGTCAGTTACAACGTTTTACGGTGGGGTCAGGGTCTGAAAGTAATCACACCGCGGAAAAACGCAACAACCTGTGAGATAAAATTATCTCACGCTCACAGTTTTAAGTTGAAACGGAAATTGTACTCATCCTTACCAATTACAATTAAAAGTTTAAAAGATTTTACAACTTTGTTTTGCAATTACAATTAAAATTTCGTAATATTATTAAATTAATTTTAATTTAAAATAGAAAACATTATATTCAACATAATCTATTCATTCTTAAGCATTACTCCATGAAGTAAGAAGTGAGATGAAAACAGAAATAATGAACTTTTTTGAAAAGGAGGCCATTATGGTTATAATTTCTGGTGCATTTCTGAAGAGATATTGCCACATTATTGCGATATTTGAATAAAAATGAAATTAATAAGAAAGCTGATAAGATAGTGGATTTCTCAAAAACTAAAAGTGATTTTTCAAAACGGCTTTTTGCATTAAAAAGAGGGTACTTTAATTAATAATTGGCCATATTTCCACAAGGATTCTTCAAGAAATTAATTTTATAGCGAATTTTAAAAATTATCGATGGAAGTTGCAACATCGAAAATTTTATCAAAACTTCGAATGTTGTTTTCTCAAAAAGTAAAAGTTATTTTTCAAAACGGGTAAGGTTATTGGAAAGAGGACACTTTTATTAACACTTTGGGAAATTTTCATACTCATATTCCAAAAAGTGGATTTTATACGAACTTTTAAAACTTAATCGGCAAAAATTGCAAAATTCGAAAAGATTGTCGATCACTTCAAAAGTTTATTTCTCAAAAACTAAAAGCGATTTTTCAAAACGGCTTGTTGTATTAAAAAGGGTATACTTTAATTAATAATTGGTGATATTTCCACAAGGATCCTTCAAGAAATTTATTTTATAGCGAATTTTGAAAGTTATCGATGAAAATTGCAACCTCGAAAATGTTATCAAAACTTCAAATATTGTTTTCTCAAAAACGACAAGTAATTTTTCAAAACGTGTTGGTTCATTGGAAAGAGAACACTTTTATTAACACTTTGGGAAATTTTCATACTCATATTCCAAGAACTGGATTTTATACGAATTTTTAAAACTTAATCGGCGAAAATTGCAAAATTCGAAAAAATTATCGATCATTTCAAAAATTTATTTCTCAAAAACTAAAAGTGATTTGTCCAAGTTCCTAAATCGACACTATAAGATCGATTTTCAACAATTAAATAATCATTCAGATACAACTTTTAAAGTCAGAAAGTGCTTAAAACATTTTGTTATGTTTTTTTAAGTTGAGAAAAGCATATTATCCCGTTTTAACTCTTATCATAGGATGGTTCATCCATTAAAAACCTCCTCGTGTTACCCCCAAAGCGGAATGAAATTGTATTTTTGCCTCGCTTTTCTGTTACTTCCTGTCTCACTACCCTACCGTCAGATTTCCGTCTCCGAGGAAGCTCCCGTGGGATTTACGCCAACGAACATGTGCATTATTGTGAAAAAAGGGTCTAGAATTCGTTGGGAAGTCGCCTTATGTATTATTAATGAAGAAACGTTTCAAAAATTCAATATGCAGTGTTAATTTTTGTAATGAATTTGATTGGTCAACTAACAATTAATTACGTTATGATGTAATTTTAAATTAATGTCTACGAATATAGTTAGTGCGTGACTATGAATAAATTAATTTATGCGTAAATGATGTATGGCAATAGATTTTATCTAAGAAATAATTTATTTTCTTTCGTAATTATAAAGTTATAAAAAGAATAAAATTTTTTTATTATTAAAAATCGTTTCGATTTTAAATAGTAATTTAATTCGGTTGACGACGACGTCTGAAAAGTTTTATTTTTTTCTTTCAGTTAGCAACTAGCATAAAATTCTTTTCGCCGTAAAACCCGTTTTTAATCGCGTAAAATTGAAATAACGGTGGCTTTCAAAACTCATCTAGGTTTAATTAAAACCGGCGCACGCGGGGATGAAAAATAATCCACGGTCTCTCTCTTTCCCAACTGCGTCTATTATATTTCGTCGTCATCGTGAGCCCCCGCGATTTGATTTTATGCTCAAGCCCACGTCCTTCAACTTTACCAAGTTGCAAAAAAAATTTCTCTCCTCGATAGGCGATTGCAAAAGGCTACGTTGTGTTCTTTGAAACCTAACAGGCAACAAAAGGGAATAGAACACGTCTCTTTTGTTGCTGCAATTGACCTCGTATTTAAAGTATAAATCTTATAAAATAAATATATCGTGCGTCTCTTAAGACGGCTAAACCCAAATGATTCTAATTCTAGATCTAGTGCTAGTTTAATAAAAATATACAACAATCTAGCACTGAATAACAATTAAAACTTGAACTAACACTAGACCTAGAAGCTTTCTAGTTCTATGTTTAGTATTTTAGCGTCTCTTAAGATGTTGAGTGTGACACGAGATATGATGTATTGGTACGATACTGACGTCATTTTCTTAAATAATAAAATCTTGGTGGTTAGGCAACCAATATAACACGTGTTGTACCGCGATATAAGTTTTTGAGATAAATAGATTTTTCATGAATTTTTAAAGTTAACCCTAAAAATGTGAAACTCAAAAGGTAAAAAATAGATTGGGTAACTTTGAAACTTTATTCTTCGAAAAACCAAAGGTGATTTTCAAAAACGGTTTTTTCCATTAAAAAGTATATACTTTTCTTTATTATATTTGGAAGTTTTAGATAAATTATCCAAAAAATAGATTTTTCATGAATTTTTAAAGTTAACCCTAAAAATGTGAAACTCAAAAGGTAAAAAATAGATTGGGTAACTTAGAAACTTTATTCTTCAAAAACCCAATGTTATTTTCAAAAACGGGTTTTTTCATTAAAAAGTATATGCTTTTCTTTATTATATTTAGAAGTTTTAGATAAAGTTTCCAAATAATAGATTTTTCATGAATTTTTAAAGTTAACCCTAAAAAATGTGAAATTCAAAAACTAAAAAATAGATTGAGCAACTTTATTCCTCAAAAACCAAAGGTGATTTTAAAAAACGGTTTTTTCCATTAAAAAGTATATACTTTTCTTTATTANACGATACTGACGTCATTTTCTTAAATAATAAAATCTTGGTGGTTAGGCAACCAATATAACACGTGTTGTACCGCGATATAAGTTTTTGAGATAAATAGATTTTTCATGAATTTTTAAAGTTAACCCTAAAAATGTGAAACTCAAAAGGTAAAAAATGGATTGGGTAACTTTGAAACTTTATTCTTCGAAAACCAAAGGTGATTTTGAAAAACGGGTTTTTCCATTAAAAAGTATATACTTTTCTTTATTATATTTGGAAATCTTAGATAAATTATCCGAAAGTTAGGTTTTTCATGAATTTTTAAAGGTAACCCTAAAAAATGTGAAATTCAAAAGCTAAAAAATGGATTGACAACTTTGAAACTTTATTCCTCAAAAACCAGAGGTGATTTTGAAAAATGGTTTTTTTCATTAAAAAGTATATACTTTTCTTTGTTATATCTGGAAACTTTAGATAAATTTTCCAAAAAATAGATTTTTCATGAATTTTTACAGTTAACCCTAAAATATGTGAAATTCAAAAGCTAAAAATTAAATTGAGCAACTTTGAAACTTTATTCCTCAAAAACCAAAGGTGATTTTGAAAAACGGTTTTTTTCATTAAAAAGTATATACTTTTCTTTATTATATTTGGAAGTTTTAGATAAATTATCCAAAAAATAGATTTTTCATGAATTTTTACAGTTAACCCTAAAAAACGTGAAATTCAAAACCTACAAAATAAATTGAGCAACTTTGAAACTTTATTCCTCGAAAACCAAAGGTGATTTTGAAAAACTGTTTTTTCCATTAAAAAGTATATACTTTTCTTTATTATATTTGAAAACTTTAGATAAATTTTCCAAAGAATAGATTTTTCATGAATTTTTACAGTTAACCCTAAAAAATGTGAAACTCAAAAGCTAAAAAATAAATTGAGCAACTTTGAAACTTTATTCCTCGAAAACCAAAGGTGATTTTGAAAAACGGTTTTTTCCATTAAAAAGTATATACTTTTCTTTATTATATTTGGAAATTTTAGATAAATTTTCCAAAAAATAGATTTTTCGTGAATTTTTACAGTTAATCATAAAAAATGTGAAATTCAAAAGCTAAAAAATAGAGTGAGCAACTTTGAAACTTTATTCCTCGAAAACCAAAGTTGATTTTGAAAAACGGTTTGCTCCATTAAAAAGTATATACTTTTCTTTATTATATCTAGAAACTTTAGATAAATTATCCAAAAAATAGATTTTTCATGAATTTTTACAGTTAACCCTAAAAAATGTGAAATTCAAAAGCTAAAAAATAGATTGGGCAACTTTGAAACTTTATTCCTCAAAAACCAAAGGTGATTTTGAAAAACGGTTTTTTCCATTAAAAAGTATATACTTTTCTTTATAATATTTGGAAGTTTTAGATAAATTATCCAAAAAACAAATTTTTCGGGAATTTTTAAAGTTAATCCTAAAAAATGTGAAACCCAAAAGCTAAACAATAGAGTGAGCAACTTTGAAACTTTATTCCTCGAAAACCAAAGGTGATTTTGAAAAACGGTTTTTTTCATTAAAAAGTATATACTTTTCTTTATTATATTTGGAAGTTTTAGATAAATTATCCAAAAAATAGATTTTTCATGAATTTTTACAGTTAACCCTAAAAAATGTGAAATTCAAAAGCTAAAAAATAGATTGGGCAACTTTGAAACTTTATTCCTCAAAAACCAAAGGTGATTTTGAAAAACGGTTTTTTCCATTAAAAAGTATATACTTTTCTTTATAATATTTGGAAGTTTTAGATAAATTATCCAAAAAACAAATTTTTCGGGAATTTTTAAAGTTAATCCTAAAAAATGTGAAACCCAAAAGCTAAACAATAGAGTGAGCAACTTTGAAACTTTATTCCTCGAAAACCAAAGGTGATTTTGAAAAACGGTTTTTTTCATTAAAAAGTATATACTTTTCTTTATTATACCTGAAAATTTTAGATAAATTTTCCAAAAAATAGATTTTTCATGAATTTTTACAGTTAACCCTAAAAAATGTGAAATTCAAAAGCTAAAAAATAGATTGAGCAACTTTGAAACATTATTCCTCGAAAACCAAAGGTGATTTTGAAAAACGGTTTTTTCTATTAAAAAGTATATACTTTTCTTTATTATATTTGGAAGTTTTAGATAAATTATCCAAAAAATAGATTTTTCATGAATTTTTACAGTTAACCCTAAAAAATGTAAAATTCAAAAGCTAAGAAATAGATTGAGCAATTTTGAAACTTTATTCCTCAAAAAGCAAAGGCGATTTTGAAAAACGGTTTTTTTCATTGCTATTATTTGGAAGTCTTAGATAAATTATCCAAGAAATCGTTTTTTTATCAATTTTTGAATTTGAGTATAACTAGTACAAGAACTAACACTATACCAGGAACTAGAAACATTCTTGTTTAGCCGCACGTCTCTCAAGACGGCTAAACCCGAATGTTCCTAGTTCTAGGTCTAGTGTTAGTTCTAGTTTTAGTTCAATAAAAGTATAGAACAATCTGACGTTGAATAACAATTAAAACTAAAGCTAATACTAGCACTAGCACTAACTAGTTCTAGGTTTAGTGTTTTAGCGTCTCTTAAGTTGTTGAGCGTGACACGAGATATGATGTATTGGTACGATACTGACGTCATTTTCTTAAATAATAAAATTTACTGGTGGTTAGGCAACCAATATAACACGAGTTGTGCCGCAACATAACTTTTTGAGAGTTCTTAAAGTTTTTTGACATTTTTTCTCTTTTCCATTTCAAGTGGAAACGTAACATTTTTCGTGTCGCAAGCAAAAATTGCGACCGATTCGCGAAGTAACTCCGATTGAAAACTGTTTCTGGTTCTTCGTACTTGTTGCTTTGTTCGGCAACGGGGTCTACGTAAATAGTTTTGCGAGCTCGACAGGACATTAGAATTGTCGAAAGCCCGAGTGAGAGCGTCGGCGGCAGTCAAATTGGATGTCGTTAAATTCGTTCTTTGCGAACTCTTGGATTACTTCCTGTAGGAAGAAGTTTTTGATAGACGCAACTTTTCTTTCTTCGGCTTTCGAGTTTGTTCTCCTTTTCTAAATACTAGAAAATTGAAGCCACTTAGCGTTATTAATGCATTATAATTACCATTAAGTAAGAAAACTCGGTTTATTTGAATTTAGAAAGCGTCGTTTAAGTTATTAATCGCTTAAACAATGTATATCCATTAATTTTATGTTATCGAAACGAGTAATTGTCCAATAACTAATTTCTTTTTTTGAGTGGGCGATTATGGTTTATAACGAGTAGAAATGTTGAACGTCAACCGATATTAATAGACAATATTAATATACACCAGGAAAATTTATGTAATTTATTGCAGGCAATTATTATCTGCGCAAATATGGACCGTTCACTCTGTGTCGTGTCGGTATTATTACGTTTTGGCGACACTTGGGATTTATGAGGTCACATGTCCGGTGCCGTTCCTTCCATATTTTACGTGGCGCCGTAAAATCTTTGAAAGCTTTCACGTGCATCTTCGTATCAAGAGCACTTTTATATAACTTTTTAAAAGTCTCTAGTATAATTTTTTATTTGATTTTTTATGGATGTTAACTTATTTAGTTTTTTTTAATTATCTATCTTAAACAACATATATAGTGTTATCATAAAGAAGGAAATAAATTTAAATAAGATAAGCCAACCCAAATCATTAACTTAGTAAATAATCATAACTGACCTTTCTCAATATCAATGGCATTACGCAACATTTATATCCAAGATTCTTTACCTGGGAGTAATTGTTGATCCTGATAAACACAACACAACCCAACCCGAAATAACCACCTGTGTAATTAGATATCAGGGAGATCCCACATCAAACAAATTTGCAAATCTGATGCAGAAAAGATTCTGCTTTTAAACAAAACAAGCAGTTTTTTAAAATTAACTTCACTTTTTGAGAAATTAATTTTTAAAGTTGTTTGATTTTGTTATTATGTTTTTAGATTTGTGTTTTTTTGGGTCAAATTAAAAAATTGATAAAAAAAACGATTTCTTGGATAATTTGTCTAAAACTTCCAAATATAATAAAGAAAAGTATATACTTTTTAATGGAAAACCCCGTTTTTCAAAATCACCTTTGGTTTTCGAGGAATAAAGTTTCAAGGTTGCTCAATCTATTTTGTAGCTTTTGAATTTCACATTTTTTAGGGTTAACTGTAAAAATTCATGAAAAATCTATTTTTTGGAAAATTTATCTAAAACTTCTAAATATAATAAAGAAAAGTATATACTTTTTAATGGAAAAACCCGTTTTTCAAAATCACCTTTGGTTTTCGAGAAATAAAGTTTCAAAGCTGCTCAATTTATTTTTTAGTTTTTCAATTTCACATTTTTTATTGTTAACTGTAAAAATTCATGAAAAATCTATTTTTTGGAATATTGATCTAAAACTTGTAAATATAATAAAGTAAAGTATATACTTTTTAATGAAAAAAACCGTTTTTCAAAATCACCTTTGTTTTTTGAGGAATAAAGTTTCAAAGTTGCTCATTTAATTTTTAGCTTTTGAATTTCACACTTTTTAGGGTTAACTTTAAAAATTCATGAAAAATCTATCTTTCGGAAAATGTATCTACAATTTCCAAATATAATAAAGAAAAGCATATACTTTTTAATGGAAAACCCCGTTTTTCAAAATCACCTTTGGTTTTTGAGATATAAAATTTCAAAGTTGTTCAATCTAATTTTTCACTTTGAATTTAACATTTTTTAGGATTAACTTTAAAAATTCATGAAAAATCTATCATTCGGAAAATTTATCTACAATTTCCAAATATAATAAAGAAAAGTATATACTTTTTAATGAAAAAACCCGTTTTTCAAAATCACCTTTGGTTTTTGAGAAATAAAGTTTCAAAGTTGCTCAATCTAATTTTTAGCTTTTCAATTTCACATTTTTTAGGGTTAACTTTAAAAATTCATGAAAAATCAATTTTTTTGAATAATTTTCTGAAATTTTCATATATGATAAAGAAAAGTGTCTACTTTTTGATGAAAGCAACCGTTTTCCAAAATTACATTCAGTTTCCATGGAATAAACTTAATAATTATATTATCTTGTTTTTAATATAATGCTTTTTAAAATTAAATTCAAAAATTCATGAAAAATCGATTTCTTGAATGATTTTTCTGGAATTCCCAAAAATATGACAAAGAAAAATATCTACTTTTTAGTGGAACAAACATTTCAATGTAATCTTTATTATGGATCAAATAACAATAAAAATAACATAAAATGACTAAAATATATCAAAAACGGATGCACACTTAAGATATTTAGATAACCAACAAAAAAAACATTTTATCGCATCCGCTTGATACAGAAGTCAGCTATCAATAATTTAATAATAATCTTATCAAGATCTTATCGTCATTAATTTTTTTGTTGGCCATAGAAACCTAGAAATTTCAGATTGATTAGTAACCGTACAAAATGAAGTCGTTTTATATTGTGTTTGCGTTTTTATACTTTGTCTACATTCTAAACAGTAAGAAAAACTTAGTTCTCTTTATTATCCGATCTAACTCAGCTTTTATTTATTAAGTCGAGGGTCAATCCGAAGATGCAACCGAAGAAATCACTGAATTGGATCCAAGTTTATCATATTGCTTTAGATTTACTTGGTTAGGCCCAAACTACGATAACAGCAGCAAAGGACTAAACACAACTTGCGAAGAGTGGCGAAATGATAATCGAGCTGATGGGATTCCTTGTAGAACACCTTTTCTAATTTCTTGTAAATAACAATCGAAATTAATTTAATTTGCATAATTGATTAATTCGCTTAATTGAATTAATTCAATTTTAGATGATGGAACTCCACCAGATATGCAGTACGTATGGGAACATCACAGAACTGATGTGGTTTGTAGAAGAGCCCGAGGACAAGTTTGCGCCAAGTACAGTTACAGCTTCAATGATGCACGTGCGTAATATCAATACCAATAATTGATTAAACATCAATATCGTTAACTGATTAAATTTTTTTTTAATTCTAGTATTGAACATTACGTATATGTGTACAAGAGCCTTTGTGGTTGATGAAGGGGCAGTTACCAAAGGCTGTTTCGACCAAAAAATTGATAGTACCAAAGTTCAAGTTTGTTTATGCGAATCTAGCCCAGGAATTTATATGCCATGTAATACGTAAATTTATTAATTTAATTTGCAATTATTTATTTTTATTAATAAAGTATTTTTTTATTAAGAAAAAGCGATCTTTAGTATCATTGTGACACTGTAAAATAGATGGCGCTAGAATGAGATTAAAATTGTTATTGATGTATTATTAATAATAATAAAAAGAAGGAATAAATAATAATAATTAATTATTAAAACAATATTTATTAATTATTTTTGTTAATTCTTTCCATTATTTAAGAGATGGCCCAATAAATGTTGATAATACAGTTTCCTAATTAAACAGACATAACCTGACGTGTCTAAAAAGTCGTGTTCACGTCAAAACTTCAAAGAAAAATAAAATGCATTCAATTTTACAAAGGGGAAATGCAATTTTAGCGTACGCTTTAAGCGTTTTGGCGTGTTTAACGTTTGTGTGTTTCGCATCGACCGTTCTTTTAAATTACCGTACTAAAGCCGACTTGAATACGGTTAAAGTTGTCGTGTAAGTAACATAACCTATTTTATTTTCGTAATTTTAATTCATTTTGTATTGATTTCTAGCAAAAACGTCCCGGATTATAGCGCTTCGAGGGAAAAGAATGATCTCGGTTTCTTAACGTTCGATCTTCAAACCGATTTAACGCATCTTTTTAATTGGAATGTTAAACAGTTATTTTTGTATTTAACAGCAGAGTATAAAACGGAAAATAATGAATTAAATCAAGTCGTTTTATGGGATAAGATTATTTTGAGAGGTGAAAATGCGATTTTGGACTTTAAAAATATGAATACTAAGTATTATTTTTGGGATGATGGAAATGGTTTGAGGTAAAACTTTATTAAACACAAAAGTATTTTTATAATAAAAGTATTTGTGATTTTTAGGGGTAATAATAATATTACACTGACTTTATCTTGGAATATTATCCCTAATGCTGGGTTATTACCAAATATTTTCGCCCATGGAAGTCATACTTTTAAATTTCCTGTGGAATATACATCAACTAGGATGTAAATTAATCTCTTTGATTTAAATAAAGTTGCATTTTTTTTTATTAAAGAACCTCCTTTATTATTTTTTTTTGTAAATAGATTATCTAATAACATAGTTAAATAAAAAAAACTTTTAATATTATTGGGTGATAAAGAGATAATTGACACATATACACAGGACTAATGGAAAGTACTATATACTAGTGCAAAAAAGAAAAAACACTTATAATAAATTAGTAAATGTAACAAATAAGATGAAGATTTGAGGCACATTACAGTAATGATCATTTATTTTGATCTGTTTGTACAAATTTATCCTCTTTATCAGGAATCACCAATGGTTGTCCATATGATCCATATTTACAAGAAATTTCTAACATCTCCTTTAAACCCTACCAAAAAAAAGTGAATAAATAATCATTAAACATAACATAAATCATTACACAAACTTTATTTTCAGCTTGCAACCTGGAGACAATCTCCAAATCATGACAAAATTTCATTTCATCCATTAAAGCCGCTTTATCCATAACTGCAGCCATTTCATGAATTTTCTCCGCTTGTTCGGTAATAATTTTTCGTGATCTCTCGTCTTGATGCATAGAAAAATCAACTCTCGATTTATAAATTTGTTCTGTTGTGTGCTGCCTATATTTGGACATAATATGCTCTAAAGCGGTTTGGTGTTCTTCTAAGGCGGCCCGTAATTCTCGATTTTCTTGTTGAATCTCCCTTAAATGTCTATTTTCTTTTTGGATATTAGCTATTAATTGCGTGTGCGGCGTTTGGTGAGCAACTTCGTTTAATTGTTCGACTTCTTCTTGGTACTACAACAAAATTACGAAATTTCCATCACAATTTAAGGTTAGAATTCAATTTTAACCTGTTTCATTGTGTCAATTTTTTTATTTATTGCGTGAGTCTCGCTAAGTAATACTTCCGCAATACTATCCCGTTCCTTTAAACGCCCTGCTAAACGTTTAGCGTCCGTTATTATTTGTTGAATTGTTAAAGACATCGTTTTTTATCCTAACCACACAACTAACTATAACCTAATCAACTAAAAAACCATCACCACTACACTACTAAGAAGAAAAAGTCTGTGTTATATGATTTCTTTTATTGATTATTAACTTAATATGTTGGTTTTCATAAACAATTTAATTTTTTGATTAATTGTTTAATAAAAACATCTGTCTATTTGACATTTTGTTGACATGTAATTAATGCGATTTTTTTGCAGTAGTGCCAACTTTAAAAAATTATTTTCCTGTTAGTTTATCGTTTTTCTGATATAAATTTAATTTTCTTTTTGAAATAATTAAGTAATATTGTAAATTTAATTAAATACGACTACTAGTACATATATTGTTTACTAGATGGCAGTTTTATTTAATCTATTAAATTCAAACCAAGTCATTGCTTTATCCACATTCATTTTTACATAAACAAATTGTTTACTTATTTTTTACGTATATTTTTGATTGGTTTTAGCTGCTTTAAGAGCTTCATCGTTTTCTAAAATATAATTTATAAAAGTCTTTGCATGACAGATTAAAGTTGGTTTTTATTTGTAATTCTGCCTTTACACTTTGTATATCCAATCTGTTCCGATTCTTGGTCCATGTTAAACCATATAATAAATAAATAAATGTATTTCCGCACAAGGAAAAGATTCAAACTTGGGACTGATTGTATGTCGAAATCCCACCGTAAGATGGCATCTATACTGAAATAATTTAATTAAACTAACAATTTTATTATTAATAGTGGGAATGATGAGAGACAGCAATAACTATTATAACCAGTATCATTCTTTTAATTTAAAAAGTATAGATTCCAATTCGTGTTATATCTTTAAATTTGCCGCTAACTTCAACTTTTAAAATTATAAAGTTGAAGTTTGTTCAGAGTGACAGATGAAAACGTCATTTTAAAGTGATTTTTCGGTAAGAATATAATAAAGTAATAATGGTATGATTAAATAATTAGATTATAATTGACATTATACCTTTGTTTCAGCTAACGTTATAAGTTGTTGAAAGCTCGTCAGATGCAATCTCATATGTCATATGATGCATTGATATTCAAATGTGGTGGCATTATTTGTCAGGTGTAATTGCCATAGGTAATTGCATCTGAGGAATTCCCAACCAGTCGGAACGTTAATTCGAGCTCCAAGCAGTTATTCTGTGGTTGGAGCTTTTATATAATATATAAACCCAATCCAACTGTATTCTAGTGGTTCGGTTCTTAGCTGAATAATTCCAAAATAGCTCCAACAGATGGCGCCACATGTGTTCAATTTTTAGTACGAAGATTTTATTTAGAGAGTTGCATTTCTACGAAGCTATTTTCTATGACTGGGATCGAAAACACAAAGTGAAGTACTTTGACAAAAAAATGGTTTTCATTAATTTCATCTGATGTTGACTTTAGACTGCGTATGGACTTTGGACCAAGTATGGATCAGGTGTCCAGGACTTTAACATTTTCACCAATTACTTTAGATATAATTGATTTGAGTACAGAATACTCCGCATATAATGGTCGACATTTATATTTAGCTGAGACACAATTTTAACCAAGTCTTCGTACTGGATTGATTATTCAGTGTCAATTTTTTCAACAAGTTAAATCCATTAGTGTTTTCGTTAAAGTCAAACCTTGATTCAAGATACTTGATTGCGTCTCTGTACCAGGTAAGAAATATGGATTTATATTCTGCTTCATTATTAGGTAGTTTTCAAAGTAATTGCTGCACATTTATACCAAAGTAAGCATCTTCAAGACGTTGGTTCAGTTTTTTTAAATATATCTCTGCATCCAACACATCTTCGTTGGTATTTTCAGTACCCGAACCAGATTCAGCGGCAATTGTAGTCTTGAAATATTTGAGAATGTGTACTGGGCAGTTAGGTTCATTTACGAAGTATCGTTCATTGTTCATCGTTCTATTGCTGGATGCAATGATAACCATCGCGTGTGGTCAGCAATCAGTTTTCTAGCTTCCTAATAACAGTAATGAGTGCAAAGCAAAAGCTGATACTTTTAGTGACATTTGGATCTTTCCTCATTGCATTGGTGCTATTGACGGAAAATATGTCAACCCAACTCAACCCTCTGGACCTGAAATTTTTTTATAATTTTGATGGCAGTTGTTAATGGAAACTATCAATTCTTCATGGTTCATGTGGGTACAAATGGTAGGACATCAAGCTGGTCTTTCTAGTGATTTGGCATTTTTTGAGATGTTAGTTAAAGAATGATGGCTTATATATTCCTGACCCAGAGCCAATGTCAGGTTTTAGTCCAAAGATGCCATATGTATTTGTAGGGGATGATGCCTTTCCTTTCATGAAAAATAATTAATGAAGCCATATAGTCACACAAGTAAAGAGGAAATAATATTTAACTATCGTTTAACCCGTACCAGAAGAATAGTTGAAAACACTTTTGGAATTTTGACATCAAGGTTCAGAATACTATTGAAAACCATTAATCTTTCTGTCTGCTCGTTTCTGGAGTTTAATCGCACATAGTGGCCTAAGAGAGATATGGATCACCCCCTCAACACTTTGTGCTTGTATAATGATGTAGGCACGATCATGTTTAGAGACTAATGAGGTAGTAGAACATGTTAGGAGTCAGGTGATTACCTTTAGAACCATACAATTAAGCTTATAACCTTACCTTTCAAACCTACAACTTAAATTACGATAAAAAAGACATGGACTTTGTTTGTCTGATGAAGTAGGCATAAAACTTTTTTGTACTACCTCTGTCCTAAATTATGGTATACATTTCTCTTTACAATTTGTCCCAAATTATGGTATATAAAAAAATCACGATGAATTTAATACATCATCCATCTCTTCATCCTTCGGCCAGCAATTCTATATCGTTTTCATAAGAATGCGGTTTTGCATTATCTTGTTGAACATAAATTTTCTTGGTTTTATGCGCTTTTGGGAATTTGGATCTAATGGCTGATAAAACGTTATCGATAATCATCTTCTTGCATTCTCCTGCGTTAATAGACTCGATGTTTTTGGTCACATTGTTCTTCTTGCGTGGTTCTTGAGGATACTATAATTAATAATTGGTGAAATTTCCACAAGGATCCTTCAAAAAATGTTATCAAAACTTCAAATATTGTTTTCTCAAAAAGTAAAAGTTATTTTTCAAAACGGGTTGGTTCATTGGAAAGAGGACACTTTTATTAACATTTTGGGAAATTTTCATACTCATATTCCAAGAAATCGATTTTATACGAATTATTAAAATTAATCGGCGAAAATTCGAAAAAATTGTCGATCATTTCAAAAATGTATTTCTCAAGAACTAAAAGCGATATCTCGAAACGAACCTCATGATTGGAAATTAGACACTTTGATTTATAATTTGGTAATAATTTCATATCATTTAATCAAGAAATCGATTTTTCAGAAATTTTTTAAACTGATCTATAAAAAAGGCATTGACATTTTTATTGAGTTTAAACATTTTTATCTCAAAAACTAAAAGTGATACCTCAAACCGAAATTTATCATTGAAAAGTAGACGCTTTCATTGACAATTGGTAATAATCTCATATCATTTTACCAAGAAATCGACTTTTTCCATATTTTTTAAACTAATATCTAAGAAACCAAAGAATTTTAGAAATTGAAATGTTTGTTAATTTTATCTCAAAACCGAAAAATGCTATCTCGAAACAAACTTTATCATTGAAAAGTAGACGCCTTCATTAACAATTGGTGATAATTCCATATCATTTAACCAAGAAATTGATTTTTTAGAAATTTTTTAAAAGTGATCTAGAAAATGTTGGAAATCGATTTTCTTGTTGAGTTTAAACATTTTTATCTCAAAAACGAAAAGTGATGTTTCGAAATGAACTTTTTCCTTGAAAAGTGGACGCTTTCTTTGACAATTGGTAACAATTTCATAACATTTTACCAAGAAATCGATTTTTCACAATTTTTTTAAACTGATCGAGAAAATGTTGGAAATTGAAATTCTTGTTGAATTTAAACGTTTTTATCTCAAAAACTAAAAGTGATATCTCGAAACGAACTTTATCATTGAAAAGAAGACGCTTTCATTTATAATTGGTGACAATTTTATAACATTTTATCAAGAAATCGATTTTTTAGAAATTTTTTAAACTAATGTCATGTAAGAAATAGAAAAAATTTTGGAATTGTAAGATTTGTTGAGNACGAACTTTATCATTGAAAAGAAGACGCTTTCATTTATAATTGGTGACAATTTTATAACATTTTATCAAGAAATCGATTTTTTAGAAATTTTTTAAACTAATGTCATGTAAGAAATAGAAAAAATTTTGGAATTGTAAGATTTGTTGTGTTTTAAAAACGTATATCTCAAAGATTAAAAGTGAGATCTCGAAACGAACCTCACCTTTGGAAATTAGACACTTTGATTGATAATTTAAATGAAACTGTGTAATTGAAAATATACATGTTATAATTTATATTTATATTATTTATATATTCAACTGGCGCCAGCAGTCAAGAATTAAAAGAGATTTTTCAAAACGGCTTTTTGGCATATTCCAAGAAATCGATTTTATACGAATTTTTAAAACTTAATCGGCGAAAATTACAAAATTTATATCTCAAGAATTAAAAGTGATTTTTCAAAACGTCTTTTTGAGCATCTTTTAACTTCAATTAAAGAGAGTAATATTCTCAGGATTTCAATTGTAACTATAAAGTGGTTTGCTCAAGTTCATTGACATTTAAATGAGTTTAACATAGATTTATTAAAATGCTTCGCGTGGTAAAGCAATTAAAGTTTCATCTTGAAAGAGATAAATTAAAACAAAAAGTGTTTATTAGTAATAATTTATTTTCCTTAAAACTTTGTCGACATTAAAAAGTATAAAAATAGGAGAGCACCTAGGATTATTTGAGAAAGAGAAGTAAAGCTACATTGGCACAAACGAAAACTTATAGCTAAATAAATGCCCTTTTTTCTTTATTTTTTAATTCGCATAAATGGAAAGATGAAAGAAGAGGTAGTTTTAAAGATAATTAAAAAAAGCTTAATTTTAAAGCATAAATTTCTTCTTAAACATTTAATTTGAACACATTTTAATAGAATTATCCAAAAATTCAAGAGTAAAAATATCTTACAAGAGATTCTTGTTCTTTGGTTGAACCTAAGTACTTAAAATTCGTCGTGACGGGCTAAAGCTTCGCCAAAATCGGTCGCTTGCGACCCAACAAATAAATCATAATTATTCAAAATTTCTTCTTTAGTTAATTGATGATCAGCGTCTTTATCAGCTTCATAAATTAAATGTCTCGCTTCTGCTTCGGCATGGTCAAAATCAGGGGGCATTATCCAATTTTTAACTTCTTCTTCTGTCATGTAACCGTCTTTATCATCATCGCGATATTTCGCAAATTGCTCCCGTTCGCTTTTAACCCATTCAGGTTCTTCCTCATTTTCTTCAGATCTATACATATCTCCGATATACTCCTCTAAAGATATTTTACCATCTTTATCTTTATCAATATCTTCCATTGTTTCTAAAACGACGACGTCTCTCATATGCCCACTTTCCTCTGGGTGCAAAAACCCAGCAAATTCTTCTTTTGTAAGTGCATCATCACCATCTCCATCAGCAATGCTCCATCTTCTTCGATCGCGTTTTAACATTGATTTATAAGAAAAACCTTCATCATCTTTATCAGCATCTTGAGGATCCATTGAGTCCAAGAAACCATAAACTAATTTTTTATAATCTTCCCATTTTATTTGATCTTTATTTTCTGGATTATGTTGAGTCCATTGGCGTTCAACATCTTCCATTATGTACCTTTTTTGAGTGTATCTTATCCAATCTCTTAATTCTTCATGATTTATCACACCATCTTTGTTATAATCGATTTTATCAACTATTAAGCCTAATCTTCTTTTACTTTCTTCTGGTGGTAATTGATCAAAGGTTTTAGCTTCATCCCCTAAAAATGCTTCATGATCGTATTGGGCATTATGTTGTTCTTCTTCATTAAAGTGTTCTTGGCTGCTTAATTCCCTGTCGATGACTCGATCTTTTTTCTCTTCTGGTTTAGGAACAGCAGAAGCAATTCCCAAAAGTGCAATAATAATTACTTTAATAATCATTATTAAATCTAAAAATATAAGAAAATTAATGGGAATATCAAATTACATAGTTCCACATCATCACTTTTAAAGTTAAAATCGCCTTAATTAATTTAACAAGGACTTAAGTGAGTTGGAATGAATCTTAATGTAATTCTTCAATTACTTACCTTTCTCTTTTAGTTTAAATAATTAAATTTGAGTTAAAAAGTACGTAAACTTTTAGAACATTGACACCGAGGGGAGATGAGGTACACGTGTTATTTTAGAAGCTCCAACTCATCAAGTTCTTTGCGCTCTGGGATGAAATCTACTCTCCGCAACCGGCAGCTTTGTTTATATTAAAGGAAGTCTGATAAGAACGGCTTTTAGACCTAATTTTTACTCCCACATCATCAACTAAATAATCGGAGTCTATATCATCACTTATATTTAGGACGCCGAATATATTCGTTTTGTAAGTCAATAAGAGATGGCGATGTTGACATTAAAAAAAATTTAAGATTTAAATATCACAGCTAAATAAAATGATTTTTTATGAGAATAAATTAAATTTATTTTTTATATCGATCATATTTTTTAGGATTAAAACTTAATTTTTGTTCAAAATCAATAATTTTTTTACAGGAATCTGCTTTATTACAGAAATCCGTAATGTCACAATTTTGACAATTAATCAAAGATGACATACATAACCTTATATCTCATAATAAGATATATCAAATCTTCATCTCAAAGTCCGTTGAGTAAACATCCTGTATAAGTTTATCCAACTCCATATGAACGCTGTTGTTATAAACGTATCCCCCCGCAAAGGCCTTGCTGTGACGTCATTGGAAGAATTGACATTTCTATGTTTTTATTTATACAGTGTATTTCAATTAAGAAGCAATACACAAAAATATAAAAAAAAGGTATAAATTAAAATATACAGCGAAATATTAACGGTTATAATTTTATTATTATTAGGTACCCAACTTGACTCGGTTACCATGGTGATTAAGATCCAAATATTGCAAGTGCTTGTCAAAATTGAAATTGAATTTAAGTTTTTTTAAGGAAAAAGTCTTATTTAATTGGTTTAAAAGGCTGTATTTAACACAAAATTGGTTTATCCAGGGTATTATAAACAAGGTAAGTGGATTAAATCAAAAAAAGATATTTTTAATTTATTTCTCTTAATTAGAATCGATTTAAATTAACTACAATTAACGAATTTGTTATGAATGCGAGATAATCGTAAAGAATTCGAATTGTTTTAAAATTAATAAAAATTAGGTTAGAATTGATAAAAAAATCGGAATAAAATTTTATTATTTTAAGGTTATCCAACTTGACTCGGTTACCATGGTGATTAAGATCCAAATATTGCAGTTGCTTGTCAAAATTGACGTTGAATTTAAGTTTTTTTAATGAAAAACACATAATTAATTGGATTTAAAGGTTGTATTTAATTCAAAATGGGTAAATGGATGAAATTATAAGCAAGGTAAGTGGATTAAATCAAAAAAAATTTTTTTTAGATCAATTAGAATGTACAAGAATTTAGGGTTAAATAACAATTAAAACTATACCTAGAACCAAGACCTAGAACTAAAAACAGTCGGGTTTAGTCGTGAAAAAAACTTTTAGTTGTCAATGTCAACTTTAATTTTATTATTATATTCGTAATCTTCATAAAATAACCTGTAAAGTGAGTCCAAACTTGACGCATTTATCTCAAAAAACCAAAAAGTTCAAACTTTCAACTTTTAATTTTGATATATTTATCAACCTTATAAAAAATCCTTTAATTTGAGTCTAAACTCGACATATTTAACTTTAATATTAATGGAAATCACTTCCGGTTTGAAACGTCAATGTCAATTTTTACATATTTGTCATCTCCATTAAAAAACCTTTAAAATGAGTCCAAAGATGACGCACTTCTCTCAAAAAACAAAAAAGTTTGAATAAAAAAAACGTTAAACCCGAAGTTAGCAACAATGAAGATAGCAATTTAATTATTAAATATTAATACCAACCTCAATTTTTAATTTTTTTTATTGTATTTTTGTTTTTGTGATAAATTTTAAGACATTTTATAAAAATTAAGAATTTATCAACATGACATTGACATTTCAAACCGGAAGTTGCTTATATCTCGAGTAATGTTGGAATTAAAAGTATCATGTTTGGACTCATTTTAAAGGATTTTTCACGACGATTACAAATTTGTCAAAATTGACGTTAACATTCTTAACCGGAAGTTGACCATATCATTAATCCCTCATTAATATTGAAGATAAATATGTCGTGTTTGTACTCATTTTAAAGGATTTTTAATAAAGATTACAAATATGTCAAAATTGAGGTTGACATTTCAAATCTGAAGTTAGTTATCATATAATAGACAAATGGACAACTTCATGGTGTTCTTTCATGATGTATTCTTTATTAAAAGAACCATTAAAATGAGACCAAACATGATGTTGCTAGATATCACTATGTTGTAGTAGTATATTTTTATTGCACTAAAACTAGAACTAACACTACTAGTTCTAGGTCTAGTGTTGGTTGAATTGTTGGAAAAAATGTTGAATTTTTCAAGCGAAAGTGTGACGAACTTGTAAAATTAAAGACATTTATGGTTCAAACCACGAAAACGATTCATGAAAAAGACTTCTTACTTGGTCAGTCATCAAATAGCTCAACGCGGTGAAGCCTACTCAATTGCGGAAAATGTCATAAAACCTTGCGCTATGGAGATGGTAAAATATATGTTAGATGAAAAGTCAGCAGAAGAAATAGGTAAGATCCCACTATCGAATGAAACGGCAGCTCAGCGCATTAGAAATTGAGCAACCAATATAAAGAATGAACTTACGTTTCGCCTGAAATCATGCAAATTTGCATTACAAATGGACGATTCTACCGATGTGACTGGACTCGCAATATTAATTGTCATCGTTAGGTACCAGCATGAAAACGCAATATCAGAGGATCGTCTGTTACGTAAATCTCTATCAACACGTACTACTGGACTGGAAATAATAAAAAAATACTATGTGAGGAAATGGGAAGTGTACATACATCTCTTCTGTTACATACTAAGTCAGATGCACGATAAAATTCTTTTCACCGTATGATAAAATTTACCATGGAAACAGAAACTGCAAAACAGTTGCCATTCCTGGATGTGTTAGTCACTAGGAAGACAGATGGGGGCATGGAACTGGGAGTATATCGAAAGAAGACGCATACGAATAGATACCTGCAGGCTTCATCCCACCACCACCCACAACAGAAAAGGTCCGTGATTCAAGCCTTATTTCAGCGAGCAGAGGGGATATGCGATGAGAGATATCCAACGAGCCACCAAACTACGCAAACAGAGGGAAGACTCGGTAAGTACTACACCAGCCGGTTTTATCTGCCTTCCTTATGTTTCAGGGCCTCTATATGAGAGTGAGCGGAAGTGTTTGGAGCGGTTTTTGACTTTCATTTTTACTTTGATGGCGTGGGCAGAGAATTTAAGGGTTCTATCCAAGGTAATGCTGAGGTAGTTGCAAGTTGGTGATGCTGTGATAGAAGAAGGTTGAATTATTATTGT